ACTCAACCGTTTTGTGTGAAAACTAGCTCAGAATTTCACATTTTCAGAAGTGCCTCAAATTATTTCTTCAAACTTTTCGAACGGATAATGCTAATTGCCTTCTTTAATACAGCTCATTTAGAGGTATTTTTTGTGTTTTTCAAAATTTACAGTATTGTAATTTTTCTGAAGGATCTCTCACGCCGTGAATATGCATATTTCTAGCAATTTGTAAGCACTATTATATTTGTGCGTTAATGTGCTTGAAATGGCTTTGTATGAAATTTTTCAAAAACTCAAAAACTTTCTGTGAAAATGAGCTTTAAATTTCGAATTTACACTTGCGCGTAAGTTCTAAGCCAACGTCCACTCTTGGCATATTAGCCATTTGGTGACGCACCGGCCAGTATATATAGACGTGCAGACATTCCCCTCAGCTTGTAGGGATCCGCACGCCCACAATGGTCAAGCGCGTAGATGGCGAATCACTGTTGCTCACTTAGCGTTACCCAGGGACACGCGTGGTAGACCACTGACACGAAGAACTTTGTCCCCGCTGTGAATTATCGTTATTATCATTAAATAATTAAGATTTGATTGGATTTTGGTGAAAGGTGATCGTGGACTTTTTGAACCATCCCAATATTTGCCTTAGGACCGAGGGAAACCACGAAAACCTCGATCAGGATGGCCGGCCCGAGAATCGAACCCGGATCTCGCAATTGCGAAGATAGCGCGCTACGCACATTTCGCTCGGTAGTTGCACGTAAGTGCCATTTTTTAAAATAATGGCTCCAAATTGTTTAAAGGAAATTGCCGTTTAAGACAAGGTTTCACTATTCTTTAATATTCTTAAAATAATATTTCCGTTCTACTACGAAGAAACCGAAAAATTAAGAAACTTTTAAAAAAATGTACTTTGGGCGGCGATAGAAGGCGGGAAAGTCTTCTATCTATAGCACCACTAGTTTAAAGATTGTCACGATTTCATTCAAAATAACGCGAAATGTACTATTATATTTTCAAAATTCCAAATGACAATATAGATCTACTTTTGAAGATGTTTCATGTGAAACATCTATCTTCAATAATATAGTTTCAGGAAGGACTTAAAAACTGTTATGTGTAACGTGCCCCAAAAATTACAATATCCGTTTCATATCCTAGGGACCGAAACATCAGCGTGATCAATTGGAATTATCCGTGTTGGTAAAATTCTGTGCACAGTTTAGGATCTGGTGTTATTTACAGACGGACTGACACTTGTGGGAAAATACACGTTTTGGGTATCAAGGACTCTTAAAATGTGGATTCTAAATACGTCACCTATTTGAAGAAGTAATTTACTACAAATAAATGCGAAAAAAACCATTTTTTCGTTATCAGGAACCCACAAAACGAATTTTTCTCGCGAAAAATCGACACTTTTTTGGGAGAAATATGAAACGGAGACTATGCGTAACAACAGAACCATTGAATCAAACCCCAAGTATGTAATATTTTACTGAATATCGAATTATTCTTCCTTTGCATTATTAAAGGGTTTACTTCTGCTTAAAGGGCTTCTTTCAATTGTTGAACCTACAGGGAGAACTATTTTTTGTATGAGATGTTTTCTTAGAAATTTGGAGATATTTTTTAGCTGAAGGAGTGATGACATAAAGGATTTGGTATTAGATGGGTCCACCATCGTTTTTTGTAAGAGTGAAGAAACCCAGAACCTAAAAAGAAAACCTTACAACTTTGATATACAGTTTCGAATCCATTGGTAGTTATATTCCTTGGTTATTGACTTGGTACATTAACTCACATTTTCACATGCTTTCTTGTTGTCTTCGCTTATTCATTGTCACTATGAAAGGAACATATATTTCGAGATTTTGATGATGTACCGATTTCTTTTGGAAAATGCTTAAAAAATAAGTCATAATATTTTTAAGAAGCAAGTCTTATAATGTTCTTGAGACGCACTTATCTGACGCCTGATATTGGTTGGTTGTGATTAAAATACGATCCAGAAACCTAAGAAACATACACTAATAATATTACGCTCGAAAAGGAGGTTCTGCTCGTGTCTCGATTAGGAGAGGACGGAAAAAATAGAAAATAAGAACACATGTTGTCGAAAATGGTGTAAGATAGACAATAGTAAGAATGATTAATCGAAAATGGTGTTAGTTTCTTAGGAAAAAACTTCAACCTAATTTCAGCTCACGAGCTGTCACTTGTAATTTACATTCATATCTTGAGAACTTTTCTTCATTGGGCAAGTGAGTAAAAGAATACACAACTAGCATACAGAAAACAGTGATACAAATATAAGTCATACTAAATAATGCCATGTATGTGTTGTCTTATAATAACCAGGGTTTGTGGGTTTTTGCTTTGTCGTGTCAGTCCCCTCTGTGTCCTCCCTATTTAATTCTTTCTCTGCTCACTTCTCCTTCTTCTCCTTTCCTCTCGCCCCCTTACTGAAATCGTAATTACATGACGGATCTTCTTTGTATTCATTAAATTCGTAGAATTGAAAAAAACCTTATAAGCCAGGAAACGTTCATTGAGGAATTTGGCGGTTTCACAGAGCAGAAGCCGAAGGGAAGGTCGGTGGACGGTCGGCTGCTGCATGCGCTCGGAGGATGAGAAGCCCGGCATTTTAGAAATCTCTTCCCAACAGCATTTAGCTACTGATATTTTGACAGTGTCGTAAGCCATCCATTCCATAGGAGACCTCAAATTTTGAGGACGCTTGTTTTTGATTTCACTGAAAATGAACGCTGTGGGGGAAAATCAATTATTACTGCATAATCACTTTGAAAATAAAAAGAAGTTCAACAGATAACAATCTATTTTTTGATAAACTTGAGGATCTACTTCCAATCTACTCTAATGATCGATTGGTGCACGATATATCTTCTACGCTCGCGTTGAACGTACAGCTGATATAATGCTGAGATTCTGTCTTGGGCCTCCGATACGTCCTGTCTGTGGAAGACACTGTGTAATGGGCAAGTTGCCTTAGCAACTGTCACAAAATATAACTAATATCTTTGACAGTTAACAATATGATTAATATTTGAACTATAAACTTTATACTTGTTTATCACCTAGTAATTTTCACTTTTCTTTGGGCATACTGATTACTCATGCAGAGTTCATGCAGAGCCGGAAATTGGATCATAGCAACAATCAGAGTATAGGACCCCCTAATCATATTAAACATAAATATTCAAAATGAATTCGAAAATAAAACTATAACGTATGCAATTTAATATTCAAATAATAAATACAAAGCATATGCCTCATGTAAATACAATTTAAAATAATTATCTTAATTTTTAAGTCAGTTTTTAAAAATAAAACACACTATCTGTATTTTGAAACTTGAATTTAGTTTATTATTTTTTGTTATCATTAATAAGAGCTGAAATAATATAAAAATATTATATGAAATATTATTTTTATATTTGTATGAACTAATATAAAATTTTGTTTAAAAAATGATTGGTTAATCCATATTGAGCCCTATGCATGTGCTTAGTCTGGGTATGTATTAATCCACTCCTTGTCACATATTTAACAGTTATAGTGATGACAGGAAATTATGACATGGAATAAATACTAAATGTAGTAATATTAAAATTTTAATTTATATTTTTTTATCTTTCAATATCTACATGTCAGTTTAACTTAATTTGTTGTAAAAATATTTAGTTTTATTGTAACAGCACCTTGATTGCATTTAAATGGCAATGACCTTTATATTAATAACAAATACAAGAATAATTCAAAAGGATCAATTAATGTAATCTCTCATTAACTTTCAATAATCAGTTTATTTCTTTTCATGTATAAAAGTTCATAACAACAACTAGAAAGCCGAAGTCGTTACTGCAAGGGAGGGTAGGTATAAAAAATGAGACAAACGTAATTCATGAGTTTGAACGTCTAATGTCTTTTATTTTACAGCAAAAGCATCGACGCTTTGGATAAATCTGTGAAATATTGATGCAAGTGGTATAGGGCCTATGATTTTCATATCATCCGCGAAGTTCTTGTACATCTTGAGAAAAACAATAAAATATGTGTACAACACATATTACAGTTTTATCTTCACCTTTTCTACCTGTTTTAAAAACATGTAATTAAACATTGGAATGGTACAGATGAAAGAGTTATTAAGCAATATACTGACTCATTGTATGTCGTGTGTATATTGAAGGCCCATTTGATATTTTCAGTGAACTTTATCTTACTAGCAATTGCAAGAATATTTCAAAGTTTTAATTAATTTCATTATTTTCAACTTTCAATATTCAATTTATTTCTGTTCATGTACAAAAGGTAATATTTACAATAACTAGAAAGCAGAAGTTATCATTGTCGTGTTTATCAGCATGTATTACGTAATTTGAATGCGTTTTTTTTTTGTTTCTTATCATGAACACTCTTTTTCATTATAGCACAGACATAACCAGGGCCGTAACTGGAGATTTTTCGGGCCCTATGGGAACTGATGATAATAGAATATTCTTTTGTGTATTTGTCTCAACCTAACAACTTTTCGCCAGATAAAGTTGATGATTTGCGTAATAATTAAATTAGCTGTATTCTCTTTAATCCAATAAAACATTTTCGTTAAATATCTCGTTGTTGTTGCAATTTTTACCTGTTTAAATGTGTACAGGATGAGGATATAAACTGAAGAGTAAAAATATAAGCAAATATTTAGCGAGGTTTAATTTTTCAATTTTTCAGAAATAACGTCTTCATTGTAATATAATCGATTATCCTCACTTAGGTTGCCCCAAGTCCACTGCGCCGACCCAGTGCTCTGTTTGCCGGTGGTAGTTACGGCCCTGCGTAGCTTAAATAGATTGGTTAGGAAAACTCTTGTAGGCCATCCACATAAGATAATCTGCACGCATTAAAATACATCGTAAATAGTTTACGGTGTAATAATAGCAATAATAATAATAATAATAATAATAATAATAATAATAATAATAATAATAATAATAATAATGTGTTAATACAGTCGGATCTCCATGCATTTACATTATCTTGTCCTTGGATGTAATTACACGAGTATTCAGAAAAATCGTTATGTTGAAATATGAGTTTGCTTTTATTATTGCTCCTTTTCTTTTAAATTGCGTTTACTACATTACGTGTACAACGCAATGCCATTCACTGCGAATATCAACAACGCACTAGCTGGCATAAATCAAATCGTTGAATCGAATTTGCTGTGTACATACAGGTATTGACTGTATGCGGGGAAAGCAGATCTGCACTGAGGTTGCCGTTAGGCAGTCATTTCTGTTATTCGTCATTTTTTTAAAGTACATTTTTATTATTTATTTCGTCCAGCTTATTGTTTTTCTTCGTGAATTGTTCTCTTTTTCGTAGACCATCTGGAACTGTAGAATAACACAGACATGGCATGAATGTAGCCGGCATGAGAAGCACGAGGTCCTTGCCCACCTCTATGAACTAATATTTTACCCTACTTACGCCCTTGAAACAACAAGCGTCGAGACTTGCTACATCCTCTTGCCATTTACTCTTGAGTGCCAGATATAAGCATATTATTCCTCTCACTTCACTAATTCTTCGGTGCATTGTATTTTATGAATTATATTTTTGTATTTCTTGAATGAAACTTTCAGTCTAGGTATACTTCATCATTGTTTTAGGGTCTGTCTCTCCCAACTTTTTGTGTTATGGCTACCCCATTTTTGAATTGCGCAAATTATTATTCTGGAGAATTCTGTCTCAGAGAGAAAACGTGCCTTTGCTCACGCTTCCGTGCAGAACTATAGTAATAATGCTACTATAGAACAGTTAAAGAATGTACCGATTCTCAAACGAAATCTCATTGTATTTCCATTCCCGTTCTTGATTGTAATTCTTGTTTAGAAGGTGTTCAAAAGTTTGTATGAGAAGTTTTGAAGGGTACAAATTTCATTGTTCCCCATGAAGTGAACACTGTTCATCGGTTGGAAGTGACACCAACCTTTGAAAGCACTGAGACACGCCAATTCAATAACCCTTTTTCGAGTAATCCCATTTCATATCGGATGGCGTCCAGGAACGAAATGAAGTTTCTGGAAATAGATTTCACTTACTACTGATGTCTCCCATCCATGCCTCTTCCATTGTCACCTAGAGGTTGTCTGTCATTCGCTGTGGCTAATTGAGAAGTAATTTTAACCTGTTTATAAATGTTGCTCTCAAATTAATGGAAGACAGAATAGAAAACCAGAGATGGTCCATTCGACGTGTTCAAAAATACTAAACAAATTCACAGAGTTTGACAGGACATATTTGTGGCTGATCTTTTAGTCGTTGCATGACTGTCGAGACATTTCACTCTCGCCACTCGGCTTTCCGTTAAATTTTTCAGGGTTTAGAGCGACCGTTCTCGAGTTGCGCACGATGTGACGTCTTTTACGGATTGCATAATCTACAAAATGCTAAATTTTTCATCTTAACTCTGTTAGTTTGTAGTAAGTACTGTTTGATGTACTCCTGTGGTGTAATTCCCTAACCACAAGTAGTATATTTGTGGGGTTTGTGTTGATGACGTCACAAATCGTACAAAATTGGCATATTTTTGTAACGTATATTGAATGTCGAAGGATCGTGTACACGTGTCTTGTGGAATCTATTAGTTAGAAATGAGTAATTTTAAGTAGTTTGCTTGAGGCACTTTTGTATTCATTTCGTCACAGAAAAAAATAACCAGGCACATTTTCTTTCAGTCAAAATGAATGATAATTTATTTCAGGCGCTGATAATACTGATTTTATCACAGTCGTTCTCTCTTCGCCACTATCCTCTTCATTATATTTATTGGGTATAGCATTTCTGTAATGCATTTAGAATGTTTATCTCCATCACTGAATACCGAACGTAATTTCTTAGAATAATATTCTAATTATATTAGAATATTATTCTAGAATTATATTAGATTTCTTAGAATAATATTATAATTATTGAAAGTATTTGATTAAAAAATCATTTCACAAAAAAATATGAACAAAAAGCATTGATGTGAAGAAGTACTTTTTTGTACTGAAATTTCGTCGGGATGCAAAGAATCGATATACAGAGACTGAAAATTATATTGCAATTTAATGATGTTCAATAAATGGAGATTCGACTGTATTGCATTTACTATGTTGGGGGATTGCTGTCAGTTACTAAAATGTTAAGCTGTTTGAGTGACGTTTTTAAGGAAAAAATGTTTGATTTATGAAAATGAAACATGATCTTAGCGTGTCTGTAAAATATTAATTTTTAAGTGCGACATTGTAACTAGGAATATTGTTAATAAGTTATATCCATCCTGTCAGTCACAAGGAGACTTTTGGACAGAGTCAAAACATGTGACAATAAGAATATGCGATTTACATGCTAATACCCTCTTACGCAGAATTTCAGTTTCTCTTTGGAGTGCTTCTAAAAAACTAGGATTTCGGTGATCCATGTTGGCCTCCACGTGAACTGAAATCAAAGAAAAAACATATTATCATTTGAAAGCATGATACTTACAAATAATATAATGTGTGTATTATTTGTTTAATATGTTTGCTTCGAAAACTGATTCAAACGTAATACATGTGAATAACAAATAAAATGTATTTTGCTTATTTACACAGTGGTAGGGAAAGAAAGAGTTTGTGCAAATTTGCTATAAAATATTACGAATTATTTCACTTAAACTAAGAAGGAATATATTTCTACCTTTTCTCATGTGGTTCAAATTGAAATACTACATGTGAACAATTATTTTCAATAGTTAAATATATAGTTTCCAGTGCAAAACTTAAAACACTATATTAATTCTAATGTAAAGACTGGCAATGGCGCACATTAATAGTTTAAATTTGTTAAACAATTTTTTTCGCAAGCCCTTTCACGGGCTGTCGTACCAAGTACATGCATACTTAATACTAAATGATAATGAGTGTCGAGGAAGTGACCTATCCAGAAACCAGATTTTATCCAATTTTATTTAGTACCATTTTCTTATATAAAGAAGCATAAGGGTACTTTATTTTAATTACTAACTTAATACTAAACATGTACCTCATGCAACGTGTTTAAAATTTGTCTTCAAAATAACATTTTAAAAGAAAATCTTGAAAGGATCAAATATAGGGAAGAACGGCTCAAACATTCTGTATCATTATATTTTACTCACCTTAGGGATTCACTTTCTTTAAATCCAATGGTTGCAACAAGTTCCAATAGAAATTAACGAAATAAATGTTCGGCTTAGCTTCCGACAAAGCAAAAATGTTAACATGATAGGTGAAAATTTAAAACTCGCTTTTCTCGAAAAAGTGTTTTCTGCGTAAAGCCGTTCATCCATTCAACTCCTCAATTATTGTTATTAAAATAATTTTCTTATTAAATGAAGTATTTGTTGTAATAAAGCTGTTACCTTATACACATTCACGTAAGATAGTCGAATACGTACGACCGACTTCTTTAAAAGGTCAGCTCTCTGGTTCAGTCTATCAATATAGACCAATCTTGGTTACCCATTATTAAATCTATGACGTACCTAAATGAATCTAACGAGGATATGTAGCTTCGATGGAATTTTGGATTGTTTGCAATTTTTTTTATCTCTAGCATTGCCTACGTAGAGCGTTGGCGGTGATCTAGGCTAGTCAACTACTTCAGACAAAAGACGCTGCAAGCAAATTAATTTTCTGGCTCATTCGCTTGCTGTTATCTTTTTTAACTGACTGACCCAGCTCCATCAAAGATCATTGTAACTATTCCAGATGTAAGGCGTCTCATCTTGGCATCAGTGGAGTAAGCATCACTCTAGACTGTCAAATGTTCTGTTTTGTCACGAATGAAGCCAAAATTCCACCATAATAACCTTCAAATATGCAAATAATTTTTTTTCTTTTTTCTTTTCTTCCAACGGAGACTGCAATACATATGCTTTCTCGATTCGGTTAATCTGCTGTGACTCCTTCATTGGTATCACTTTCTTCGTTACAATCACACGATCGACAGAAGTTGAGACTGCTAATGCTCCATTTACCTGAAACTTTTTTAATATTATTTTCGTTAAAACTTCTTGATCTACAACTCCATCATCCCATCAATTCATCCATTTTGAAACTTTGATTTTAATTCTAAGGAAATTATCGAGAGAACCCATGGTTGTTACAAGTCGATCTTACCAGCGTTCTTGAGTTCTGCCTTAATGCACTCATTGTTTCGTCAAACTTGAATTTTTATTGTTTCACCATCCGCATACGTTTTTACAAACTATTTTCCCAACTAAAATGTCTTCTGAAATAGAAAAAAACGATTTTACGACACAAAATACTGTTTATTCGATATAATATGCTGCATGGCACCACTGTCACACTACCATTATCTTCATCAGTATAATTTCTTTCTCGGCGTACATATGCCTAATAGGCCTTAAAAGCAATATTATAATTTTGTTTAATTCCTGATCTGCCTTCTTCGTTTGCTTTTTTATCCTTGGCATTTCTCTGCCCAATGATCTAATGTCTTGAATTTATTGTATGGACATTTCTGCTTGATTTATTATTTTGATATTTCACCCTTTCCATTTTTCTTATTTACGCATGTAGCAACAAATGCTGTTATTTCAGTTGCCTTTTTGTCACGCAATTCAAATGTATATAGTTTTTCAATGAGTAACTTCAAATAATGATTTTCTACTGGTATTGTGTTTGAAAAATGTTTAAAAAATCTTTTTCCTAGTACATACAGAGTTAAGCTGTTTACAATTCTTTCAGAGAGGATATTCGCTTTGTGTTTTCTTAATTCGTCATTAAAATAACAGAAGGCTTCTGCAATTTTGTCACGTGCAAATATCAGGACTTTTTTCAGTACTTTCACACAATAATTCTTGAATGAATACATTCAGACGCTGTAAATTACAACGTGTGTGTAATTTTTCCCTACATTTACTTTGTTTTGTTGCAAGTTGCTGTGAACACTACGTGACTCAAATATTACAATAATTTCAATTTGGAAATTAAAATGTTTTAAATCATGATTTCAGACAAATGCAATTCATTTTCATATTTGACTTAACTCTGTCATTTTCTTGTCATATTTTACAGACGGGAATTCCGTGGTGGTTGCAGCGGTGTTGGTGACATCACAATTCAAGTTTCTTTAGGTTTATTTAACTTCAAGTAGCAATGTATCTGAACCGGAATTTTCTAATGATGCTTCAAATAAAACAAAACTTATAAAAAATGGATTATGTTTAATATTGTTTGAATATGAAATATATGGATAGAAGTAGAAGGAAATATTGTCACAACTGACACGACTATAAGACAGACGATATTCTTACCCATTGATCCCAACATCAAGAAAATGTGTGATGGTGAACAGCAAAAACATCATCACATTGAATTCCAAAATTGTAATTGATACGTTTTTATTGACTAAATAAAATGATCTCATCATTACTAAATTCATTTTGTCGTTAATTTGATCGAAATATAGGTTGCAATTAAAAACAGCACTAGGATATAATGAAATAATTTCCTATTAAGTAAAAACTTTAAAATGTTTTTAGTTTATGCCATTTATTTTACGTTTTTACAAAAATGTATTTATTTTCCGGTTATAAGTGCTCCGAATATATTTTATGATGGCGAAGAACAATGAACGATGTCGTATTACTTAATAATGACCATTCAGACTTAGGGGATAAGAAGAATGAAAGAAAATTAGACAACGCGAGTACCCTTAAAACCAATCTAAATAAAAAGCTAACTCGTTTTATCCCCCAACAAATTTCATATCCATCTCTTGGAATTCGAAGCTTTTACTTCTTCACATTTCGAATCCCTGTCGATCCACATATGACAACAGAAAAATATGTACGACAGTTTACATTTTTCGAAATCTCTTCTAATTAACAATTTAAATCTAGCCATACTATTTTTTATTCTTTTCATGTTTGTGTAAGTAATTGCAGGAAATGCAACAATTTTTATTCAATATTTTTAACTGAATCGAAATCGATTGATTCGAAGTTGAAATTTCAGAAGTACTTTATCACCGCTATTGCCTTCTTAATCTGAATTTCCTACATCTGTATTCACATAATGGGAATATCAATATAAAATTTGTTGAATCACAAATATATTTTGTGTCATACCTTATTTTAGAAACTGTATGTAACACTTTTAAGGAATCAGAGAAATTCTCTACAACTTTGAAGATGTAAAACGGAAACTCACGTTCGTAGCTCCATCTGGTGGCAGGTATAAGGAGTCGTGATTTAGCTTCTGCAAGTTCTTCTTTTAATTCTTCTTGCTGTTTTCTTAACTCTCGTATCTTTCCACACTGCACTTCTATCCAACGCCTTTCTAATCTTTGTACATCCTCTTTACAGTATTGCAGTACAGGCACTAGAAATATAAAACAATTAGTAGCACATGAGAAATAAACACACTTTTATTTAATCTCTATTTTATCCATGCATTAGGTTTTGTAATTATTAAAAATATTTTTTCCTGACACTTTACGTTCAGTACACATTCTAGAACTAATGGTTGTTGCATCTTATTGAATTGCTTATCGCAACAATTTTCTAATATGACACCCGTCGTCCCGCTTTACATTCAAACTTCTTTCTCAAATACGTACGTATATACAGAGTATATAGGCGGGTGGTGATGGTGGTAGTGGTGGTGGTGGTCGCTACAGAAGTACTTTAATGCGTTCATGCAGAGAAAAAACTGTTGTAAATAAATACTCGTGTGTTAGGATGATTCTCATTGCTTTGCAGTATGAGCTCTGCTTTTGACGGGTACCTCACACTAAAGTAAATGGTTCTCTGAAAGTGAACTAATTTATCTGCCATCGTTCTTAAATCAACCTTGCGTCAAAACTATTGCAAGGGTTTTGAAAAAGGGGACCGTCGTGAATTGCATTAATGGCGATAAGATTACGAGCCCACGAACGTGCTGACTGACAGGAAAGGCGCGTGGAACGCGGTACGTGTGCTGTTTTGCCTGAGAGGTCCTGCTGTTTAGTTCGTTTTGGAATGTCAGAGAGTGTGGCTGGCCCTTCAGTAATTAAACACAAGAGGGGACATTTTCTTCCAAGTGGCGAAAAGCGCCTCGTTTTGAACGCTTTCGATTCGTCATTGCATAGGGATCCGTATTTATCGGTGAAGCAAATAGATGAACTTGCCGAAGAGTTCAATAGTAATAATAATATATTAACTTCACCTCGGGAGTACATGGCCTTGACGTTGGTGGTGGAGCTGGAGTACTCCAATGACCCTGAGAGCTATGCCGGCGGAAGCGTAGCTACTGGTAGGGCCTAAATTGCCGGACTGGTCGAAGGGGAGGGATCAGACGAAGAAGTACTCCAGATGAGGACTTCAACAACAGCAGAAAAGAAACCTTCGGAAGAGTCTGTCCACAGTCGACATGAAGTTGGCCTCAACGCGACCCTTCTCTCCTCGAGGGTTGATAAGGATACCCCCTTAAGTACCCCCATGAGCCTGAGAGCTTTGTCAGTGGTAGCCTAGTTACTGGTAGGGACTCCTTTGCTTGAAGGTGAGGGATCAGAGGAAGAAGGACTCCAGAGGAGAGTGGGAAGTAAGAAGAAAGGGAAAGGTCATTAACGTCTGGACTTCCTGTTATCGGTCCATGGATTGTATATGAGAGAAACATGGTTGGCACATCAGGCCACTTATTGGAGTGAAGGCCCGAACCCTACATTAGCCAGCGAAGGATGCTGCCTTCAGCAGTAAGTGAAAATCCCGAAGGGTTTAGTAATGCCGACTGGCGATCGGAGGGACCCCTTGCTGGGCCGCAGTGGGCCGCATGTTCCGAGGCCACTGTGGGTCGCAGTAACGGATGACAGGAAATAACACTTGGGTTAAATGTGATCTGTGAACTCGAACTTGCTTCCTGCGAATCTTCACTTACAACCAATGGGCGAAGTGGACAGAACAAGAAATTTGATGAATCTTAACGTGCCTAGTTCTACCAGTCTCATACGTGCTCAGAAACCGACCTAATATCACCTTGTCGACGTCTGGGTATCCCACGGATGTTAGTCCCAGGAACCCAGAGTCGGTAGTAGCTCTAAACCATCGTCAGAGATGGACACGGGATGAATTAAAGGAGGTGATATGGTGCTTTTACTAGGCAAAAGCCAAAAAGGGGCCTCGGAAATAGAGGTTTTCAAAGAATGAAGAGACCGGAACCAAGATATGAGACCTACCCTAAATTCAAAGAAGCTTGCCTGTCTACGACGATACACTCTCAGCAGTGGAAAATTCACAGCAGAACAACTTGCTAACATTCAGATAAATGCGGAGTATGTTCTTCGATCGAACTACCCACATGACGAACATGCAGAACTTGAAAACGATGGTCCTGTTGATGGTTCATCTTTTTCGAATGAAACATATGTCAGTGGTGAAACTTCATATGGCAATGAATCGCAGGACATACAATACACTCCTTCGACGCGAGATAGAAAGAGTTCGTCAACTTCCATTCGAATCTCGTGCACCGTTGAGGAGAATATAGAAAAATACTAAAGCTAAGAGAGTGATAGAGACAGTGAACTCTGTCTTAAATGAGGTGGTACAAACACCAGGTAGAGGACTAGATACTACTGAAATCAATCACCACACTGTACCATCATGGACGAAAATAATTATGAAACGGATAGCCGACACTTGGCGTGAAATAACACTTAGTCGAGGCATCTTCTAAATCAACCCTCAACTCTCAAGTTGAACGAAAAATTTTCAATGTTGAACAAAAATACCATTTTGAAAACGCCCCAACAGACTAATGAATCCCGAGAAGCTAAAAGAAAAAATCCAAGCATGGGCCCAACGTATTAGACGTTACAAACGTAGAATAGATTTCCGTATTCAGAATCGGTTGTTTGAAGCAGACGCGAAGAGATTCTATCGTAATCTGACTCAAAAACGGCAACGCTGCCACACCTTCAAAAGGTGACGGCGAAGCATTTTGGGCATGAATCTGGGAGGAAAGCAGATCCTACAACAAAGACGCATGTTGGCTTCAATCTGAAGTTTATGCTGCCGATGAACGTGTGGAAACTGTGGAACCTGTTCACTAACTCTCGGAAGAGGACTTCTTCCAAGCAATTAGGTGTAAGTAAATGGGAAACTGGAAATTCCCCTGGATTGATAAGATCCAGAATTATTGGATTAAGAAATTAACTCCAATCTCTGCTCTCATCTAGCAAAGGCTGTTAATAAAATTTTAAAAAACCTATAGGAACTTCCGGAATGGTTCACATGCGGCATCAGGTATTTGCAACCCAATGAGGGAGACAGTTCTTCTGCGAATAACTACAGGTCAATCACTTGTCTGCCATTACTGTACAAAGTTATAGCAGAAGCCGTAGCTGACAAAATTTTGAGACACCTAGAGAGGAACCCTCTGTTGCTAGGTGAACAAAAAGGTCGCAAAGGTTCTTATGGCTGGAAAGAAATCTTGCTACCCAATAAAATCATCTTGAATGATGTAAAGATACGAAAGCGTAATTTACGCATGGATTGATTACCAGAGGGCCTTTGACACTGTACCACACGATTGGATTTCGAAGACCCTGGAGATCTATCGATTTCATCCTAGACTTATTGAGTTTTGCAAAGCTAGTATGACGTCGTGAAGTACCAGGTTACTAATACACAGCGAAAAGGAAGAAGCGGAAACAAGAAATACTCAGGTTAACAGGCGAAATTTTTAAGGAGATTCGCTATCTCCTCTGCTGTTTTGCATTAGTTTGATCCCACTATGTAGATAGTAGTCGCAAGCTGAGTTTGGTTACAAGATCCATGGTGGTGAAAGACCAGTGTCACACTTGTTTTACATGGTCTTGAAGTGTTTGTTAAGAATGAAGCAATTCTCTTCCAAATGGTGTCTGCAGTGAATTACTTTAGCAATGACATCTGCATGAAATTGGGACTTGAACTGGCATCTGCATAAGTTTGGAAGTGTGAGCTTCAGGACTCTCATTGAATTGGGAATTGTGAACACTTTGATTCTAAAGACTTGACCAGAAGCTGGTTTGCTAAATTGTTTACCGACTCAGCTAGTTAAAGAGAGCAGGTTGTAATTTGATGCCAGTGCTGGAACATTCCTTTTTTTTATAGATTGAGAAGTTAGTAGATGCAAGTCATATTGTAGGTTTGAATGCTCGTGCCAAAATCAAGAAGTTCCAAAGAGAAATTGTGCAGCTATGTCTGGCAATTGCTTCAGCTTAAGAAAATGTAGTGGTCGGGTCCAGCGGAGGTGTTTTTCGCTAGTTTTGTGGAAGAAAGTCCATCCTTCAAGACAGCAGCAGGGTAAGTTTCTTCCCAATAACTCGAAAACTGAAGCAGACAGTTGTCCATTTTTCGACAGAGAGAAACAATGGGAAGGGGGGTCGAGCAATATGAGTTTGACACCTCATAATGAGAAGCTAGCTTCTTGTTTATAATATTTAAACACCGAGCACTGCAGTTGAAATCAAATATTTTTATTTTCTCGTATAAATACGTATATACGTAGTAATATACGCAGTATAGGGAAAGTTGTGTAATGCTGCGGAAAATCGATTTCATGATTTCAACGAAATACACGATTTGGGGTTCCCTGATACCGAAAAATTGTTTTTTAAACGTCCGTCCGTCTTTCTGTCCGTCCGTCTGTGAACACCATTAGCGCCTAAACCATACGTTGGGATATTTTCAAAATGGATATTCCCCGGTCGATCTGGCTGGACTTAAGGCGCTGCGATTTGGAAAATCTTTCTTCAAGATTTGAGGATACTTTTCATGAAGCCCCCGAGTATTTTCAATTTTGTCTCAAAATCGGCTCAAATATTTTCTTTGAACTCTACACGCACTTAAATGCACTCTACATGACGACATAAACGCCACATTGCTCTATTCTTGTGGCTTTTCAAAAATTACAAAAAATAATTGTATTACTTGTCTCTCACGTCGTAATATTTGTATTAGCAGCAATTTTTCACATAATATTTGAGTACATATGATTTAAATAACTTCAGATAAAGTTTCTCGAAAAGTCCATACTTTCTGTAAAAATGAGCTCAAAATTCCGCATTTTCAGTAACGCTCTAACGCCATTTTCTCAAAAACGGCTCCAAATTGTTTCTTCAAACTTTTGGAACGGATAGTGTTAATTGCTGTTTTAATTTAGGGTAAAGCTCATTTTGGGGTATTTTTTGTTTTTTCAAAAATTACGCAAATGTAATTTTTTGAAATATTTCTCACGCCGTTAATATGCACATTTCCAGCAATTTGGTAAACCCTATTGTATTTGCGAGTATAAGTTCTTCTAATGAGGTTTTACCAAAAACTGGAAAATTTTCTGTGAAGATGAGCTTCAAATTTGGAATT